AATCGCTCGTTACTAACAGCTGATTAACGAAAACAAAGATCCTCCAACGCATCCACTGAACAGCCATTATATGCGATAATGTCAACAACCAAAGATCATTCTCAAAACAATAACAACCAATCGAATGGCATCGAAATACCTTTCATCCGAAAATTAAACTTAATATTAGACGTTGAGAAGAGATATAAAGTGGTTGTTGTGTTCTTGTGATTTGTTTTCCGCGTTGAGCATCTGGCAAACCACAATTCCATCCCTTCAACAAGATACGCGACACTGAATCCGACAGTAAATCCTAGCCTTTGACACTCTATCAATTCTTGCCACCAGATCAAAAAGATCAGGAAGTTGATCAATTGCTTAAGATGTTTCCGGATGTTCTTCGGTGAAAACTTGCGTCATGCAAGCTAAACAACAACAACAATCACTAGCTGCAAGGTAGAGCATTAGATGTGATAGCCGGGAGTGGACCAAGAAGAAAGGCATGAAATGACTGAGCAAATGATGGAATTCCTCAAATCATAGGAATTTTCCAGCTCTTTGAATTAAAAATGCTTATTCTATTTTTAGCAAGCAATAAATCAAATGAGACAAAGAACAGTATATGTAAATACATGAATTGAGACGAAACAAACAAAGAATCGGATGATCGAAGGTTGAAGAATTATTCGACATTATTCATTCACGAAGAAATACCATCAGATGAGCTGAGACGTACGTCTCCAAGGAATGACTGATGATAGAATGACGAATATCCAAACTGAGTGACGGATTAAATGATACATTTGCGGAGCTAGGAAGAAATAAAAAATTGTTCATTATCCATCGGAATGTAGCTCGGATAAACTGAATTCAATGAACTTATTGTTCCCCTGTAATCACTACATTAAAGAACTCCATGGAAACAAACGCAAACATCCGTAAACACGCAGAAAGGCGAGTCAATGAGTGACGTTCAATCAACCTGAAACCTCCCTTAAAATGTTCGTCATAATGCCACGTTCATCAGCCGAACTAAAGCTGAGATGAGGCTCATTCTGGACGAATTTCAGAGCGGCTCGATATAAATTGAATGAACAATCATCTATAAATGATAGGTGATTGATAGTTCGGAATATGTTGCACTTCTTCGATTCGCCATGGTTAAATGTACAGTACCAACGTCCAGCAATTCCTACAAACTCTTAACCGATAGTCATAGAATTCATCTCCCTCTAGATCCTCAATGAAACACTCATTAGCAGAATGAATATCATGATGGTTGTAATCAAGAACAACACATTCATTCATATTACTCGCATTCGATCACTCCAAATAAAAATCTTTAGATGGTAGCATCGAATGAGTAGTTGCTGTCGTATTATTGCATGTCAGTGCGTGTGATCACTCAAGTGCGAGCAAACAACAAGGAAATTTGAGGAGACCATTTCTACAATTCTAGTTATGCAAGCAACGTAAACTCGTCAGTGAAAACTACTTCAAGACGCTTCAGTTCCCCAGCAAGCAATGACCGATCGAGCTTTTTGATGTAATCGAAATGAGAATTTGAACAACTCGTCCAAAATGAACACAAGAAATTCGAGAAAATGGCGATTAGAAATGACTACTCGGTCACTGTAATCACTTTAATCTGAGCTGATAGCGTATAATTTGTCGTTCACGAACAGGCAATTTTCATGATGATAATATATGGAAAATGACGAGAGGTATGCTGGAGAAATTACGCGCATGATGGCTGCATGTGTGTGTGTGTGCATGATTAAAACTCTTACACATAAGCAATAATTGATGGTGAAAAAAATGGACGACTTCTTCAAAAATGTAATTACATAAATAAAGTATAAACGTTAACAAAAGAATTGCTGTTGAGCGGAAAAATCCATCAAGCAATTTCATTATTCATTTTTACGGCTAGTTATGGAACATCCGCTCTCGTATTCATAAAATCCATCGTGTTATTCCGCAACACTTGAGTTCGCTATTCACTTGACTTGTAACTAATGGTTCACTTGTTCATTCATTCCGTACGGATCCTGAGCGAATTTGCTAATGAAAAGGAACTCAGAGTTTTGTGGAGCTGCTAAACCAAGCGTAATTTTGACTCATTTGACAGGCAGGAATATACGAATAAGCAAAGGGATAAATAAGCGCGATGTATTGGACAGATGCTTTGGATATGAGAGATCCGATGATTAAATTCAATGAGATTCTTGCAAGTGCCAAATAACCAAACGACATCCTCCAGCAAGGTTAGAGACATCGTTGCATAGTGTGATGGTTTCGTCTTTATGCTATTGGTTATGAATTATGGATCTGAAGTTACCAAATTTTAATCATGCTTGTCAGCGAAGCACTCCTTCCAAACATTCGTCATGTCACACATTCATTTGATTCGTTTCATTCATTTGACAGGAAATATGCGCCTTTTCATGTGAACCATATAGATACTCATTGCAATAAGTGAAGTGTCCTCTCGGCATTAAAAGTTCACAACCAGCATCGTTTCGCATACCTGGAGACAAACCTTCGGCAAGAAACATCCACCTAACAAGTAATTCAATTGCATTTTGCTCCGCCACCTCTTGCCACAGCTCGACCGTAGCTTTTTTTCGCGCATTGTACGTACTAATGACAGAATTGTTTTAAAATTTCACACTAAGGTCACACACGCAAATCAAACGATCAAACAACAACTCATTATTTGGAGTAATTTAGTGATTTTGACTAATTTATTAGCACTCGATCGTCTTATATCTATTTGTCGCATTGTATCTGCATTTGATGAATTGCAGTTATTAATGAGAAGACATAAGAAATCAATGCTGACAAGAACATGTGAAATATTTTATTTGTATGTTCATTGAGGGCATCCACGTGTAAAACAGATGAATGAACGACTATCTGCTTTGTCCCAACGGGACTAGAGGCAAGTCTTTCTGAAAACGGAACATGAAGCTTGCAGGCCAGGCGGCAGCACCAACAACTTTCACTTAAATGAACATAATAGAATCCCGTGATTTTCAGTGAACCAAACAGATAAAACAACTATCTAGTATGGTTTTAATCAAATATCACAGATGTTTGATTATGATAATTCCATATCAAGTGAAATTACATGAGGAATTTTAAAAACATCGAATGAAATTACTGATAATGAGTGTTTGATGTTTTGATCTTTTGATCAAATTCATTCACAACCATAAACTGATTCATAGCATTCATATCCGTTCATATTATCCATATCATTTTTCAAAATCCATAAATATCCGCATCCGTTACACTTTATTTCATTTTAAATACTACGACGACCTATCACAACGTCAATGCCATAAATAATTTTGCCCATTCGTAATGGACAATGAATCTACGCAAAACGTCCATTCTGACGTACTCATTTGCGCATGAAATGTTCTATTTAATACTCTTAAAATTATTTGCGTCATGTACTGTCACCAACTGGAACCTTAATTTTGCAAGTGCAATCAAGCTTACTCTTGAAAAATCCTATGATGACAAATTAATCACCAACTGCTTTGGTTTACAACTTAATTCATCGTCACGTCCAGAATGTATCCGTAAACGTTGCTGAACGTTGACAATCAACAAAAAAATTCACTAATTGTATGAGCATCTCATTCTCGTCAGTTCTGTTATAATAATTATAATATCAGTAAAATGAACTGCAAACAGTGAATCGGAAGCAACTGGATGAGGACTCCACTCAATAATTTCGAAGCGAATACCGAACTAAATACCACCTTTCAACCGGTCAGGCATTCGTTTCATTTACTGAGAACGAGTATATGAGGAGCGCGTAAAGACTATTTGCAAACAATCAGCCAAGGATTTCATATCACTCAAGCGGATTTCTCTAACGTCAGCAAGCTGAACTTCAAATTCGTCATCTGATCGAATTTCATATGATACGATACGATGGCGATGATAAAGGTGAATGCAGTTGGTGTTCAATGAGCCAGTCGTCTCTGCTATTTGACAAATGGATCAAAACTGTTCGCATTATTCGATGACGATGATGCAGTGCTATTTGGAAATGCTTTCCGATGAAAATTCAAAATCAAACAATTACTTTGAATGTTAACGCGCATTTATGATCTTTCGAAGATGCGAATGATGTCATTTTTAAAAGCGTATAGGTATAATCCGAAGTTATTAGAATCTATCACCCAAAAGAAGCTCTTAACTTCAAGGATAGATAAGAAATACCAACGATTGAGATCGTCCCTCTGATAGCTCGCGATTATCATGAGCATGTTTCTTTCCCGTGTATTTGGGTGAGACATTAGTCAGACACGAGGAAGAAGACTAGCAGTGACCAGGAAACCGTAGAGTGAAAACCCCTTCATACCAAAACACCCGTTATTGGAACTTAGTTTTTGACAATTTCAAGGAAAAACAAAAATTCTCTCTGATCTACGCACACAAAACTGAGCTTTATGCGGATTTTCGGAAGCTGAAGAAGAAATTTCTGCTGGTGCAATTCTAATCAATGAAATGTATCAATGACGATAATATCAATGAAAATCGCTCGCTTGCAGTATCAAATGCATCAGTCAACGACATCGCCGCAATCAACAGCAGCTAAGAGATCGCTTGGTAAAGTGAAATATTTGAATCTTTTGAACATGTAACAAAAACTTTTTTGTATTATCCATGAAAGTAACCAGACGAATAGATAAAATATCACTGAATGTTAAAGCACCTGAAAATCTGAAAAAGCAAAGAAAAGGAACGAAAACAACGCGAGTTGAAATCAACCAAATCCTGAAATCAACAAAAAATGCATAACATTGATTCCATTCACTCACTCATCATTTCGTCGTCGGATTCATCGTCGGCGTATCGCGCATCCTCGAAACACGACTCTGGATCCGACTGCATGCTACCGGCCACCGAAGGACTGGTTCGTCCCGAACTAGCACCGCCACCACCGCTGATCTTATCGTTGGGCACTCGCAGAAACTGTTGAATCAACTCCTGACGCGGAGCTAACTGCACTCGACCTGAACGGCATTTAAATTCGTCTATTCGTTCCGAGCAAGCAGCAAAATGATTTTTACGCAAGCCATGAGAGAAATTTCATGTGCGCGAAGGAAACTCTCTGGAAAACTTGAAGTATGGTTGAATGTCATTGATTTTAATTTATTTTCATTGAACAAATGTGCTCACATTTTATTAGCTATGCATTTTTTTGGAAGTTGCATTTGGTCGTGAATGCGCGACAAACTGAGAAAAATACACGCAGTTATTTGTGAGACATGAGCAATTTGAACAGTTTTGTTCGTACTAATTGAAACCATTGTTCAACCGCCTATGATGATGACATGATATCATCACACTGAAATCCAGCCCTAGAATCTTCTTTGATGCTTTACATCACTGTCCCAAATATGAATCAATATATTCGACGGAAAAAGTTTGAAGACTGACAAGAGTGCGATAATGCATTTGTATTTCTTATTTCAATAAACTTAATGCACATTATCCGTGAACATGGAACACTTTCTTCATAAAGAATTACCACGCGCTTTCTGATCAACAAACATGCTCGTTGATCAAATGCACTCATGATGTCAGTTTTTTAGTCTGAGTCTGAGTTTTTTCGTCTTATAGCGATTAAGCAAAAATGTTCACTTTCAGATCAGAAACCATGTCTAGCGGAAACTAAGCTGATTTTGAAAGCTTATTTGTTGAATATCAGAGCAACTTTTTGGCAAAAAGTTAGATTTCATATCATTTCGTAAAATGATCTTATTCCACGCATACGATTAATGAGCTGCAGTTGATTTTTGACTAGCATCTACTCAAGAAGCTCCGAAAAAAGTTAGGCGCTTGCAAATGCAATCAAAGTTTTATCTTCATTAGCCGAATTGAACGCAGTAATCAACGAGAGCAAAAGTTGTGATGATAGCTCAAGAGGCGCTAAAGTTGAGTTGGTTCTGAACGATTTTGAGACCCTTGAGAATTCAAGCCTATGCGCTTAATCTGTATACATCTTGTATCTCCCAGAAGAACTGGCCAGGCAGAGGATAATATGGATGCAATTGTTGAGTGTGATACCACCCTCACCAAGCAATTTGTTTCACCATTGAAATGTCAGTCTGTCAGTTTCAGAGGGAACGCAAACGAACGATCCATTTCGCTGAAGTGAAAATCGATGAGCATCACCATTCATTCATTCATAAGTGCATAATCAAGCAAATAAGAAGCAGTTTTGCCCTGATATCAAAACATTTTGGTTGAAACACTCAGCGAATTTGAGAAGGGAACTGGTCTGCACACGATTCAGTTCCTCAGTTGTTTCATTTTCAATGAACACCTATTAAATGTAAAGAGAAAATTTGACGGATGGTTCAGATGCATTCTTTAGAGAGATTCTGAATATGCGCCTGGTTATTAAGTTAGGAGCTGACAANCTTTAAACGTGTGATTCCCATCTATATCAATATTCCTAACCCCTTTATTGACCTTAAACATTCAAGGCAGCAGTGGAAAAGCCCTCAAGACCATGACTAAATGTTTGACCTAAACGTTTGACCACCTTGAGTCAAAAGTGTGGTTCAAATATGTAATATGAAATGAACAAAATAAAAAAAGAACTGGAAGATAATGATTCGATCAGAAGAAATGGAGCCGAGCGAATCTAGAATCCGTAAGAGGTGCTGATAGCAAGACTGAGAGTGGATAGCATCCGGGTGACACGAGAAGATCTGGCATGTGCATGGAAAGTTGTCGCGAACGAACAAGATTTCGTCAACACGAAAACGCAAAAACAAAGCAGATTATTCGTAATCAGATAGACAACGACGCTCAACTCATCCACTTTCAGCCATTCCAATGCACAAATTCAATTGGCCTTCGTAAAGGGACATTAAAAAAAAGAATCACAAGCGAGAGAATTTACGATGGAGAAAAATCGTTCGCGTTTTTTTGAGATAGCCTATGAAACTAATTCCAAA